CTATTGGTAGGGATGTCAATTAGCCCAGCCCCTCTGGAAATCAGTGCAGCAGTTCCTTTAAAGACATGCAAATAGAGCTACCACGTGAGCAAGAAACACTGCTTCTGAGTGTAATACAGCAAAGAATTATAGGAGACCAGTAGAATCCTCTGTAATTCCAGCACTGACCACAGCAGCCATGCTCTGGACCCAGCCCAGGTACCACTAGCAGATGAACAGCTAAAGCAAATGTCGTACACATTGCACCATGGGGTTTCATTTACTTTAAAAAAAAAAAAAAACAGCAATTATGTCTTTCATAGAAAAATGGATGGTATTTGAAACAGTGGATGCTTTGGGGGAGTATCCTGCTAAATAGGATAAATTAGACTCAGAAAGACTAATAACCCAGGTTTTCTCACATATTGAGAGTGAATATTTTTAATAGTATGAAAGTAGCAGCAGATTATTTGGACAGAGGATGAGGATCAGCAGAAGAGGGTAGGAGTGACAGGGGAGAGCAAGGGAATAGTGATTGCCATTGAAGAACGTGCTAGACACCAGATGTGTGTCAAACACCATCAGAAAAGGCCTATTTGCATAAATATGGGAATGATATTTATAAACATATACACAGAAAATATTGAAGGATAAAAACGGAGAGGGATCTGCTTGGGAAAAGGGATAGAAACAGTAGGAAGGGGAGGGATCCAGAGAGCAGAAAGTTGATGAATACGGTCAAAATACATTATATTCGCATCATGGAAAGCTCACAGGGAAGCATATTATTTCGTACAATTAATATACACTAATAAAATGTCAAAAGAAACCTTTCTGAATTTCTCAAAAGCAATTTTTAATGATGCTATTTTAAAGAGTGGTGAATTTAATAGCATTTTAATAACGTGTAAAGAAATGCTATTTAAAACCACAAACAACGGTTCTTTAAGAGCATTGCCCTATTTTAAGAATGTACATTAATGATGGGCTTTAATGGGGTCCATTCAGGCATTTCTATATATGCGTGTGGTGGCATTTACCAGTCGCTGTAACCCTTCTTACATCCCCCCCTCACCTGTGTGCCTTCCCAGCACCCAGCCATCACCATGTTCCTTTCCTGCTGGCTTCTGGGTCCCACAGGTGAGAATGGACGTGGGGACACAAGTCTTTTTGTTTTTGATGGATTTGACTTCTAACAATATCCTCCAGTTTTTCTCTATTTTGTTTTCTTTCTCTGTAGCTCCCTAATACCCCACTGGGTACTTGGACTACATTTTTTTTATCTCCTTGTTTATAGATAGGTAACCTAGGCTGACTTTGTATCTTAGCTGTCATGAGTAATGCTACAGCTAACACAGGCATGCAAGTATCTCTTTCTTATGTCTCTACTTCATTTTTTTGACTATATATCAAATACAGCTTTACAGTTTAAATAGAATCAGCCATCCGACTTCCATCTCTTATTTGTTCCCAATGAACTGTAGATCCAGTGGTTTTTATATGATCAGTAACCATACATGGTTGTTAAGAACCTGGTTCTTAGTTGCTGGAGAAGCCCACTTCTCTCTGAAAATGAGTCTTATGAAAATGGAAGCAGATGATGTGCCCCCCCCCCAAGCGAGAGGCAATGCATATTTTAGGCTTTGCGATTCAATCACATTGCGGTAACTAGCTGCCAGGTCACAGCCCGAGAACAAACGCAGACCATACCCAGACAAACGGATGTGGCCGCATGTCAATACACCTTCACTCACAGCAACAGATGAGAGATTGATTGCCCTGAGATCACAGGTTGCAATTTGCCAGCCCCGTTAATCCCCCAAAAGTCTAGTACATCAAGTGCAAAACATAGCTCTGGTATTTCTGTAATTTGAAAACATCGTTGTGTCGCTTCTAAAATGATCGTTTATGCGCGGGATAATTATACCTGACTTTACGTCCATCATTGGTACAGCAAATAAAAGAGCAAATGCGTTCTTTTCTAAGGACATGGTGCATTTCCCAGGCCTGCTTGCGGGGAAGTTTTGATTGAGTCTGTTTATTTATTGATTGCAGCAATCCTTCCAGCAGATGGGAGAGAGAGATGTCTGCTCAGCTAGACAAGGCTAGTTAAGGCGGCAGGCAGATTTGGCAGGTGTTTAAATCTTTTAAACCCAGGGCCCACGGGGAGTGGGTGAACCTTTCCTTTGCACCTGTGGCCTGCTGGCAGCCTCAGTCCTCCCACTGCCCTTCATATGCCAGCTCCAGGGGGCAGAGTGCACGCATTGGGACATACCGCCATTTCTCCCTCCCCAGCCTCCTGTGAAGTCAGCTGCGCGCGGCGTGGAATAGAGAGTGTGACCGGAACCAGCGAATCCTACTTACAGTTAATAGCTATGAAGAGTGATGCTGGGCTTGCATGAGCATCACATATCAGCCAGTGGCTCTGGTCAACAGGACCGTGAGTCTGGGATACGGTCTCGGAGGACGCCAACCTTCACTCTTATTTCTCGAGCCTATTGTCTTCTGATGCCCTATATTGCCTCTGTATTGGGGGTCATAATCCTGTGTCTTCCTTGTGACTCACTTAGTCATTTCTAATGGGATTCTGGGGTCCCCTTTCCTCCCTCTACTCCTGTACTCCACACCACAGACCGTTTGAAAATACGATTCCCTTATTGATTCTGGGAGGAAGTCAACATCACGTTCCTGATGTTCTTTTTTGATTATGGTCAGGCCCCAGCTCACCTCTGAAGGTCTGGGGGGAGCCTGCCACCCCTAGGTTCCTTGTGCAACCTCTTGAACTACTGTCCCTGCTGCCTCCTCCTGGAGACCCTTAAAACGTGCTTGTTATTATTCTGGGGACTCTTCTGAACCTTTCTAGCTGGACCCCTTCAGCAGCTGCCTAAATTTTTAAATTGGTGATTTCCATCAGTGGAAGGGTGCAACAAACAGGGACTGCGTCATTTACAAAGGCAATGGGAGGGTGTGGTGTACCCATTTGGTGAGACAAGAGGTTTGTTTTGTTTTGTTTGTTTGCCCTTTTCTCTTACAATGTGTTCACAGGTTTCCCTCCCTTGTTCCTCCCAGATTCTCCCACCTGCCCACCCAACCAAATCCACATTCTTTCTTTCTCTCATTAAAATACAACCGGGAAGCAACAACCACAAATGAATAAAGCAGAATAGACCAAAACACAAACAAACAAACAAAAACAAACTAAACCCACAAGAAACACAGACAAAGAGATGCACACACTCCCATACACAGAGATCCCATAAAAATACAAAATCAGAAACGATAATATATAAGCAGAATGCCTGTAAAATTGAAAAGCAAAGCAAAACAAAACAAACAAAAAGCCTAGGATAAGCATTTTAAGACAAAAACCTCCAAGAATACCATTGAGTTCATTTTGTGTTAGCCATATACTTCTGAGCATGGGGCTTGCCACTAAGTGATGTGGGATTTCCCTCTGTATGCTGTGATTACTATTACTAAATAAAACAACTGCTTTGGACCTATAGCAGGGCAGAACTTAGCTAGGCGGGGACAACTAAGCCTCATGCTGAAAGGAAGAAGGGGGGAGTCAGGGAGAAGCCATGGAGCGCTGCCAAAGATTCTTTACACACTGAAAGAAACAAGATATTCAACTAATTAAAATCTCCAAAGAAGAAGCAGTGCTAACCCATTTTTATAGCTCTCATCAGAGCCTAAGAATAAGGAGAGGATAACAAGAGTAAGCGATACAGTTCAACCTTTGCTGGCATCAAAATTCTCCACGACTGTGGGGGTGACGCTCTCTGCACTGGTCAAGCAGATGCTACACACCAGTGTGGGTTTGGATTGCAAGGTCTTTTCAAAAGGTTGTTAGATTTTTTTTTTATCTTATTTTATGCTATGAGAGCTTGCCATGCGTGTATATGTGATGGTCAGAAGGGGGTGCCGGATTCCCAGAGCTGAAGCTTTGTGTGGTTGTGAGCAACCAAGGAAATGCTGGGAATCAAAGCCAGGTCTTCTTGCAAGAGCAACAGGTGCTCTAACTGTGAGTTGTCTCTCTGACTTCTACCAACTCTGTCTTTCTACAAATATTATCTCTGGTATATGACAGACCATATATTCTAAGGGTCTCAACTTGTCCTAACACTCCAATTCTGATATCCTGCTTATTCAAGTTCATCACTCTTGATTTTGGCAATCTTCTAGAAACAAAGCAGAAATTCAGTTCTTTTAGTTTTGCCATCTATTCACCTAGTCTTATGAAATACTGCCTAGTCAGAGTCCTGAAACAATAACATTGCCAATGGTAATGACTTTTCCCAAAACAGCAGTTTTGGAAATGCCCCTGAGGAATTAGGCTGAAAAAGAGCCTACTTTCCCTACAATATAGATAAATTGTGTAGGTTGTGATCTGCCTTACAGTGGCTTAATTTACTCATCCAAGAAGCAAATCTGTTGCACAAGTTCCCCCAGTCCCCAAATATAGGTTCAAGTTTCTCTTTTGAAAGTCTTTAATTCTCTAAAGGTTCTCATGAAATCACGGTAATTTCTGTCAACACAGTTTCCTCAAATTCCTGTCTCGTAGCAGATGACGTCATAGCCACTCCATTTTGTGGATAGTCTCCCATGGATATTCTCTTGCATAAGGTTCCCAGAGGAAAGCAGTGAGGGATGAACTCAGCCTCTGTCTCTGATGCATAAATGAGATGATTAATCCTCGCAGGAGGGATTTTCCACACGTCACTTGATCATATTTATTTGGCACCCTGATAATTTGCAATTTACCCTATGGAAACAACAAGATAAACATATTTAAAATACAATAAGCATATTAAGGCTTCTGCCTTAGGTTTTGTGAACCCCAAATATACCTGGTAATAAGACAATGCATTTATAAAATTTAAAATAGGACACTAATTTAAAAATATATGATTATGGCATTTCCTCCAATGCAACAAGATCCCAGGGTAAAAATGCTTGCATCAGGGCACCGCAGAGAGCCGTGTTTCACTTGCTCATTCATTCATTTTTATTATTTTAAGGTCCAACCCAAAAGTCACAGTCATCAATGAGCGAATGAGAATTTCTCTCCTCACATGGTTTAATTCAGCCACTTCCTAGGACTTTGACTGCACACCAGGTATGTGGAAAGAAATCACAGGTTTTATATTCATTGCCATTTGCCTCCCCAAATCTCAATTGCCTTTCATGAGACTCATTTATCCTTATGGACTCAGAAAGAAAGAAAGAAAGAAAGAAAGAAAGAAAGAAAGAAAGAGAGAGAGAGAGAGAGAGAGAGAGAGAGAGAGAGAGAGAGGAGAGAAGAAAGAAAGAGAGAGAAGAGTGAAGAAAAACTTACTGCTGCCATGACCACCCTCATTTCCTAGTGAGTATGTTTATGTGCTGTGTAGTAAATACTAGATAGGACTTCTTCCCTCTTTAATAATAAGACCAATTTCACACAGAACACTTGAGATCTGATCTGATCTTTATAATTTACCTGTTTTCAACTTAACAGACAATATTTAGAATGCTTCTGAAAAACAAAATATTTAAATACTTTATTTACACTGACCCATAATACAGAGTTTTGTTCTGAAGTCTTGGTTAATCTTGCAACTCACAACCTCCTTGCTTCAACCTCTGAAAATTCTGGGATTTATAGGTGTTTGCCACCATGCTCGTCTACAAGTATAGTCTTTAAAAAGATAAATTGAAGAATAAAGAAAGATAAATGAAAATGTGGAGGCAATTTAGTGTGTATTCATAGAACTCTTGCAAGCCATGCATCTTTCCAAGTTCTTCATGTGTTTGGAGAAGAGGCAAGACTTGGGGACAAAGCACAGAGGAGGGGGAAATGTAACCAGCTTCTTTGCTCCAAGTTGGAAACTCTACCTTATTCTTTCCTCATTCTTCAATTTATCTTGACATTGAATATATTGCCCTGTGCAAGTCAACTCATCAAAATCAAACAAATTCAGCTTCAAAAAACGTCACGGTGGTTGCATTTTGAGCTGGGATTAAGTCTAAATTAAATTTGGTAAACAGATAGAATTAAATTTATATAATAAAACTTGTATATAATTGCATTAAATCTAGTAGCTTCAAGAATACTATAGATAAATTAAAATATCACCGAAGGTAAATTAAAAGTGACTTAAATAAATGATGTGCCATAGTTCTAATATGATACATGTCTCCCAGATCTGTATATCAATGACACCTAAATCAAGACGTAAGCAGAATTGTTTTACACAAACTGCTAAACTCCTTCAAACTTTTCACGGTAAGCAAAGAAGGAGGAACAGCAAAAATATACTTGAAGAAGGTCGAGTTAAAAAACACTAGAAAGTAGGTAACTAGTCTACCTACTTTCATTATGGACAAAAGCACTTGTTAACGCAAGACTAGATGAAGACCCACAGAGCCAGCTCACACAACACATTCAGACATGACTTGGGATGAAAGTCACTCTGCCTTGCAAAGCCATGAGGAAATGTACGTTTTCAGTATCACTTGGATATTGATTAGAGCAGAATAAAAGAGGAGCATTATGTCACAAGAGAAAGGAAATTAGTCCCGCGTACACCACGGATGTGACAGAGAGAGGCAAAAGCTAATGACAGTTGGAAAAGTTAATTCCACTGCTTTCTTTATGGTGCTGGGCTTAGAAAAAGAATAAACTGCCAAGGATGAGGCTTTTGGTTTTTTCAGCTTATTAAAATTAAGAACCTCTGTTTAAAAGCTTGATTAAATTCCATTTGACTTTTTACTCCTTTTGTCTTCTGTGTCCTTGGGGGTCTTATCAAAACTTCTTGCCCTCTCCAATGTCCAAAGTTTGTTTCTTACAATTTATTCAAATAGTTTTATAGTTTCTTGTTTTTACATTTATGTCTTTATCCCATTTTTAGTTGATTTCTGTAGTTGACAAGATAGGGTGCAGTTTCTGTCTTCTGTGTGCTGATATGCAATCTAGAATTATTTATTGAAAGAACTATTTCTTCCCCGGTGTACCCTTAGTGCTATTGTTGAAAACGTGTTCACCGTATGTGTTTGAGTTGACTTCAATATTCTTCATTCTGTTTCTCTGGTGTTTGTCTCTGTTGTTAAGCCAACGTTATGGAGTCTGATGATCATAGCTTTGTGTATATTTTGAAGTTAATTGCTATAATACCTCTTAGCTTGTTTTTTTGTTCAAGATATTTTGGCTGGTGTAAGTGTGTGAGTGTGTGTGTGTGTGTGTGTGTGTGTGTGTGTGTGTGTGTGTGTGAATATGAGTGAGTCTCAGGATTTGTTTTTCTAACTCTGTGGCCAATGCTTTTAACAATATGATAGGGCTTGCATTGAATCTTGAGTACACTTTGGGTGTTGAAATATTTTACTGGTTTTTCTACTCCATCAACACAGGCTGTCCTTCCATTTTTGTAGTCACTTTGACTTCTCTCAACAGTGTGCTATAGTCTTCATTATAGACATTTGCCTCTTGCCTAGCAAAATTGATTCAAAGATATTTAGTTTTATATTTTAGCCATTGTGAATGGATTCAGATAATTGTTGTTGGTGTTAACACAGTTAAGCAATAGAACCACATATGTAATCTGTAGGATTTGATTTATGGGGAGTTGCAGACAAGCAAAGCTTATTTATGGTGTTAGAAATAAAACATAATTACTCTCAGTATACAGCTGAACTGCTGGCTTATAATGGTATCCAAAAGGCTTCTGGGGAGGATAATTCCTATCTCTGATATATGCACTTTGTATGGTCACTTACTTGGTGCTAATTTTTTAAGCTCTGTTTATACAGTAAATTCTCTTTTTAATGTTCACATAAATCTAAAATTCAAATGAAACTACAAGCATCTGAATCTAAGGGTTTTATACTTCCTATATTGGTGCCTATCTTTCTAAATGTGTATTAAGTAGACAGAGGTAATGGATGGCCCTCGGATGCTCGGTAAAATGATAATACATTCGATGACATTTGTGTTTGAAGGTTAAATTTGAATTGAGACCTGCATCCTAAGCCCCAAAGCACAAAGTGTGTGCAGGTTTTCCATGTGTGTTCCATTATTTATGCTATTCTTTTTGACTTCTTTTAATCAATAATTTTATGAAGTGATTGACGCAAGAGCCTAGAAAATCTTCATGTAAACTGAATTGATGATCCTTTCCTTGCTGTAATGGAGGACATCATTCTTCTTTTATAATGCTAAATGCCAGTCAAAGACAGGAATATTTATACGTTGGAACACAGCAGCCGGGGCTGCTACAGGTTCAGATAATTCCTCTCATCTTTTAAAGGTTAGAGTCTGGACATGCGGCTGTTTTTCAAGGCATACGTCTTGGTGGACTGTCTGAAGCAATTTCTAAATCAAATCATCATTTTGCTGCAAGCATGCCAAGGTCTTAAGGACTTGTTTGTTATTATTAAGGCGCTCCTAATTGTTAATTACAAAGCTACAGCTGGATTAGGGAACAAAAGCCACATTTCCACATCAGAAGATTTTCCTGTACATTTTTCCTTTATGATATTTGATCCTGATGGAGTGTATTTTTCTCCATTGAACCGTTTCTTCAGTTGCAAGGCATTTTTGTCAAATTATAATACCTTATAGAAGCATTATACTCGATGCATATCCTCTGAATGATTAACAAAATTCAGTTCACTGGCTGAATGGCCACAGACATCAGAGCTATATTTCCTCATGGTGTCTAGATTTCAAAAAGCGTTCCTTGATTTCTTTCTAGGCTGTAATTTTAGAGAAATTAGACCTTCTGGGAAAGGGGTAGGCAAAGGGACAGTGGCTATGTTCTGTGATTTTAAGAGTGGGTGAAGCATTCTCATACCAAGGAAATCGCAGAATTTTAACAATTTAAAACAGAATGTCCACAATATAGGTATTATATCATATATAATATATATATCTATTAGGGGGATAATATAATAGCTGTATATTTTGCTTATCTCATAATTTCAATCCAAAGTGGAATGAGTGAGAACGCATACAAGGAGGACTGTGGAGGTATTCGGGACATGGAGCTTTAAAAGTTCCAAGGACTTTTACCTGGCTTCTTTACTTTCTTGGCTATTTTTCTCTTTATAGTGACCAAAGACCTGACAAGAAACAACTGGAGAAGGACAGGATTATTTTAACTCAAAGTTGGTGGATACAGCCCATCTTGTCAGGGAAATCATATAATGCTCACCCCGAGCCTAAGTCCCAAACATCTGCTGCCTCTCCTGTTCTTTCTCTAGCACTTTCTTTGACCTCAACTAGAATTCCTTGACTAGCATCTACTTTATTTATATACCTAGAACCCAACTTAGTACTTGAAACAGGTCATGTTCAGCAAGTGATAGATGAAATGGAATCTTCTAGAAGCCTTGCAGCAGTGTATGAAAAAGTCTTTTATTATAATCATCAGTCATAATCTGTGATTAATTCTATAATCATTCTAATTTTCCTAAATTATGGAATCTCTTATTAGCTAGGGCTTGGCAGGGTGGTTCACAAACACCAAATAAAAGCTGCTTCAATATCCCAGGCTGCACCTGAGACATACATGGCTATGGAGGTCTGCAGAAGGACACAAATCCAGGCTCCTTCCTTTCTTGAGCCTTTACAGTGTAGCAGTGTAAAAAGATACTTGGAGTAGATATAATAATTATTAATACCCCAAGTGCCATGTGACCCTTGTTCTGCAGGGTGGAAAAAGGATGTCATTCCCAGAGCATCACCCAGCAGTCTTCTGGCACCAGGTGACTTGGTCCTGTGTGACTGAAGAGAAGAGAAGTGATTTAAATAACCCACAGTTGCTTACGTGCTGAGTGACCTGACGACAGCCTACTGATGGCTTTTCCACTTGTGTGCCTTCGCAAGCAGAGGAGCTCAGGAGAGAGAATTCAGGAGCAATTATGTGTCGCAAATACCTGTCCTCACAGTGGGCTGGAAACCAACCTGTGAACTGCACCTTAATCTGTTTAACCTCCCCTTTCTCTTGGTTGAATGAAACCATGCCCATGGGAGAGATGCTTTAAGCTATTGCCTTTTATCTCTTCACTCTACCTGCCCCCAAACGCTAGCCATTTTCCTGTCTGTCTTTGAACTGTGTCTCTCCCTCAGCCTTGCAGACTTGG